TGTTTTCTAATAGGAAACAACAGTCTGTGGGAAAGGTGCGCTGATCTACGAATATATGGCTTTACTTTATCTGCTTGGATACATTAGCAGCTGATGCTGCTAATGCTGTAAGGGGAAAAAAACAGTAATCAGTTTTTGACTGTACTTGGTTTAAACTGGCTCTGAGGTACCCTGGAAAATACAGAAGTACATCACTGAATTTATTTGCAAATATAAGAGTTTTCAAGAACAAACCTCACATATTTGTAATGTGAGTAAGCTGTTGGTGGAACTGTAAAGAACAGAGAGTCTTTTGGTTTTATGCATGTAAAATAGAACCTGCAGTGCTGTGTTAAATGCCTTTAGCTTGCGTCTCTTCCTGACTCTTTCTGGCATGTGCATGCATGCACACAAACAAACAAGTGCAGGTGAATATAGTCAATGCAGCACCCAGGCTTTTCTCTTGGGCTTACTGTATATAACTCTGGTGGCCAAAATGCTTTTTTCTTAACTATTAAGAAACAAAAATAAAAAATTAAGTGGTATTGATGTTTTTCATTACATAATTACTTGCAGATACTTATCACTTTCAATAATGAAAATTGAAGAAAATAATTTACAAGTTAATTGAATTGAGGGAATAATGTTTAAAAAGGCTGCATGAGATCCTCAGCTGTGTAGGTTGGTCTGAACGCACTGTTTGGTGCATGAAAATCTGCACTAGGTGAAGATCTGTTACACTTCTTCTCACTACCTATGAAGTTTATAGGGTTTTTTGGGGGAGGATCTGAGGTTCGTGTTACGAAAATTCTGTACCCACTAGGAACCCTGCAAAAGGCTCAGGAAACCTGAGTAGCTTCTTGTGTTGTCCTTTCCCTCCCATTCTGCTGCCCCTAGTTTATCCTATGCTCAGACTCTAACTTACATGCAACACTTCCCATTTGCTTTTGAATCTTGTCTAAATTAGAGCTCATGACCTGGAACAGATAATGTGAATATGTGCATTTGTTCTGGGGGAGGAAATCTGCGCAATCACCAGTAGGTTTAGAATAAAATAATTTTTTTTTTTTTTTTTTTTTTTTTTTCCTTTTGAAGTTTACGAACGATCAGGAATTTGGATTGGGTGATGAATAATTTTAAGTGGAGAAGTATGACCGCTAAAAAGGACTGTAATAATATGTCTGTAGAGCACTTTGAAGATGAAAAACTTTATGTACTGTAAACACTATTACTAGTGTAGCTTAATCTGGAATAATTAGCATGAGCAAAACGTAATTTTATTTAATGTAAAATACAGTAGTTCAGTAAGTCTGATGCACCTGTGTATTTATTTTCACATTGTAACCAAGGAAATTCATCCTCTTTTCTGACATATGTTACAAGGCTTTGAGATTTTGCTTTACATAGAGACTGTGCTAGTCCAGGATAACCTGCCAGAAATGTGAAATCTCTCAGCTAGGAGGTAAAAAGAGATGTGGGTTTGGTTGTTTTGGTTTTTGTTGGTTTTGGTTTTTTTTTCATTTGCTTGTGTTTAAAGACGGTACTGAAGTGTTGTGCAACGTGTCAAATATGGAAGTGTTCAGGGGGCAAGGCAGCCTCCTTGAACTTGTGCTGTGGCTTTGGAGAAGACCTGAGTGAGTTTTGTTACAGAGCTGTGCAGGTGCCAGATTTTGCTGGGAAGCGAACACCTGCCAGGCTGCTCCAGATAACTCAGCAGCTCGGAGGCATTTTCCCAGGCTCCCAGCTGAATGGTCGCTAATAGCCGTGGGAGAGGGCTTCCCACTGCTCTGCACTGCACCACAGCCGCCTCTTGGCAGCCTCCTGGAAGCTCAAGGCAGCTTGGCTGCAGCTCCTTTGGAAAGGAAAGCAAGTGTTGCTGGATAGTTTTACAGTACAGAGTCAGTGTCTGATACTTCCTCTCAGTGTCTTGGGACCATGAAATATAACAAGCAGGGCAAATTACCATTCCCTTAAAAGGCAGCACTCACTGGGGCATGTTACAGCTGAAAGTGAACTGTGGCTTTTCTAGAGTTACTTCTATTCAGTCACATTTGGGGTTCCTTTTTTAAAAATTATTTTTATTTTTTACTTTTTGGTTGGTTGTTTCTTGTTGCTGGAATCTGATCTTTTGGATTTAGAAGAAAAACAAACCTCCAAACTACTTTTTTTCTTTCCTACCTCTGTTGGTATTCTACAGACGGAGCTATATCTACGTTCTATGATGAAGAGGAAATCAAAGATTGGTCCGACTAGGTTTGCTGATCCCCAGATGTGTGAAATTTCTCTGTTACTGGCTGCAAAACAGTCTTTGTAGCTTAGGGTAAAGCTTGAAAGGAATGCTTAAAAAGCTAATGCTGGATTATTTTGTCCTTCCTTCCAGATAACTTGACGAGCAGCTTCTGGTCCTCTCTGTGTATACACTGGCCTTCTTTCCTGGAGCATATTTTACAGCTTGCCCTGAAGCCATGTTAGCATATGCTGGTATATAAATTGTACTGATAGTGGCCAAGTCTGAATTTGAGAGCAGATGCAGACTCATGCTGAGTAAGCGTGTAGAAAGTTTAAAAACTTGCAAGATGCATGAGATTGTCAGACAAGATGTCCTTTTGGCTCTTAGTTTTTAGCTTAATATTTCATGAACCAAAAATGGTTAATTGGATAATATATTTCTCTTGAAGGAAGCAGAAAGAGGTTATTGCAGTTTTTATAGCTCTGCAGTAATCCAGACTGTTTTCATACTGGAAAATTTGTGAACTGTAGTTGACTTTATGGGCAAGATTAGATGTCACATACGAGAGGATTTAAAAATATTTGTTAAACATAGCTGTACGGTAGATTCAAAATAAAGGTATTTTGAATGCAGCGCATCTTAAGTTTTTGTCACTTTTACCAATAAGTACAGCAAATAATTATCTTTACTGGCTTTTTCAATGAAGTCAAATATAAATGGTCATGGGAAGTCATAGAAACTAAAATTCTTTTCTAGTGTTAGTCCCTCTGGGCAGAGATTATTACCTCAGTTGCCAGTTTCCTATCAAGGCTCTACAATACACAAGCAATCAGGCTTGAGGTGACACTGCAAAAATCATGTAGAGCTGTCTGCATCTCTTATTTATATGTTTTACTGGGTTGGAGGTATGCGTTCTCCAGAGAACAGTAACTGAAGAATCGAGGGCCTTGGAGAGTAATTTCATATTTTGTTCACACCATTTGTCAATCAAATCTGATTAAATACTTCTCAGAGAATACCAGAACAGCATGAGAAATCATCAGATGTGCATGTCACCTGATTCTTAAAAGAATGTCAGGAATGCTGTACCATGCTTTTCTCTGTGAAAAGCAGAAGATTCACACGTTTTCATTTCTGTTCCTTCCCAAGAAAAATACCTTAGGAGTGTCCCTGACACACAGAGGTGATAAGGCTCTCATTCTCTTTTAGGAAATTCATTGTGAAGTTGTGCTTTTATGCATGCAACTTTTTTGGCATTACAGAGATCACAGTGGAAATGCTATCGTCATGCTAATAACTTACTAATATGAAAGGCAAATTCCTTGCTTTGGCTAGCCCTACCGACAGTGTTAAAGAGCTGTGGATGCCAAACTGGAAATAGCTAAAAGTAATTTTCTTTAATTGAGTTCATAAATATACAGTTAATAAAGATGATGGATTACATCCAAATTTTTCTGTAGCACTCATCATTTTCAAGAGATGGTTTAACTTGTCACATCTTGACTTGATCTTTAAAGAGAAGTCAGAATTTAGGTATCTTCCCGAGGGGAAGGAAAAAAGATGGCTGATAAATTTCAAGGGTTTGATTGTGATGAATAACTGTAGTTCTTAACAGGACATGATGTTGAGCAGTTCATGGAGAGCTCATGGAGAGTTCTCTCTTCATGAAGAGCTCAAGAGGTCTGAAGCAGAGGCAGGAGAGTTGTAGAGTCTGTAGGAAAGGACGTGCATTTTTCCTGGTTATGTTTAGGAATAAGGCGTGCCTTGGCACTTGCTCAGAAGAGATTAGGATGGGAGCATACGGGCTTTCCTGACTTCCTTTTAAACAGTTGGAGAGAAGAACAACAGTAGCACTTGACTTTTGAACTCTTCTATGATAACTGCACCAAGGGTACCTGACTGTCTACAAACACACCAACAAAATAAGCATCACAAAACTCACCAGAGCTAGAGGAAATGTCATTAGCTGTCTTGCTAATTCTTGCAAAATTTTACTGAGGTGTGTAGAATCACTATAGAGGAAGGAATTGCAAATTCTAACTTTCAATTTCAAGGGGAGTTTCGTTGCTAAATACTTTCATAAATTAAGTCACAACTCATTTACTCAGTGTCATTTGTGAATTAAAGTAGAACAAAAATAAAATCTGATTTTCTTAGCTGTTGTCTAATTATCTCTTTGCTGCAATACAATCCTGTCTGTAGTTTTCTCGTGCTCCTGATGCACAAGGACTTTTATTATTCTCAGAATCAGAAACTGAGGATGTGTGTATGCTACAGGTATCTGCTGTGGCAGCCGGACTAACTGTGTTTACTTGTAGATATGGAGGAGTCTCTTTTGTGTGTGGTTTTCTTTTTTTTTTATTAAACAACCTTTTTCTATCAGCTTTTGTATATGTCATCTTTCTCTGGAAAGCAGTGGAATGAAGTTAAGTAAATGATATCAGTAGTTTTCTGGTAGAATACATATGAAAACCATGTAGTACCTAGGACTGCAGCCCTTTGGACTAGTGACTCAACACTAGACTACGAAGTGGGTGACATCTGTGATTAATTAATTGACTTAAATTTATTTCTGTGGTTGTAATCAGAACTTGAAGGTTAGTAAAATGCTTGGATTTTTTCATTCCAAACGCTACTTTTTTGAAGACTTCAATATGAATGGTTTCTTTTTTTTTTTCCTCTACAGTTATATTTTCTCTCAGCCAATCCTATCTTTGTAGACACACTGTACTTGGAGACCACAATGCTCAAGATACATTTACACTTATTATCTTTTTGTTTTATGTTGCAGCCAACAATTTTCACATTACTGCCTACTTTATGAAGAGATGGGTTAATCTCCGTTGTGCTCTAGGGAAACATTATCGTGGTAAGGAATCGGTTTCAAATAGTGTTACTTAGAATTATGCATTTCTGTGAGTAAAAATAAAAGGGAACTGATAGTTGTTAGCTACTTAAGATTTGTTTTAAAGCTAGAATTTGTTTACTCTAGAATATGTTGTCTAAAAAAAATGAGAAATATTTCTTAAGGTGTGATTATTATTCTTTTTAAACTTAATTTTAAATTTTTGTAGATCTTGCCTTGGGTTTATCAGCTAAGTCACACCAAGTTCTGTATGAATGATGAGACTCAGCATTTTACTGAGTCTCTACAGGGTGAATCAACGAGAGGTTGCAGTATGAATCACTTCATTATTGCTTGAGTGTCTTGTGACATCAACTGTATAGTACAAGTGTATGCAAGAAAAAGCTTTAATTCAACTCAGTGCTATAAAATCTTTATAAAGGTGATATAATTGGACTAGGTTCTTTTTTCGTGTTTTCTCAAGCCAAGATGCTCAGTAAGGAAGTGATATCAATCCTGTCCTGCCAACAGCAATAAAGAGAAACTGTAATGATCACTGCCCATTGTGCTTAGCTTTTCATATTTTTCTTTACATGTGAAACAAATCCAGCCCCTTAAAACATTGACTATTTGAATGGATATTTTAAAGATTTTTTTTTTTTTCAAATTGAAATTCATTATATTCATGAGTGTTTAAATTTTTCTTCAAATACCAACCTTTTTTTATTCTAACTCTATATTGGTGGAAGAGACTGGAGTGTTGATTTTAAATGTTTCATTGAACTTCTGCCTGCCTCCTGGAAGAACTGTATCTGCAGTACTGTCTCAGCATTGTTTTCTCTGTATTAAATCCCGACCTTTTTCAAGGTCAGTGAATACCTACTGTCATTTTGTTAGCCAGAAAGTGCGATTGTTATAAAGTATAACAATAAAAATTACTAACTGGAATAAACTTGCTGTACCAGCGCTGCCAAAAAGCAAGACTTTGATTCTGCAGTCAACATTTTCCTTCTACGTGAGTTCCTATCAAGACAGGAGCTTCATTTTGCTGAGTTTCACTACTAATAAATAGCAGAACACATATCCTCAAAAAATATTAAATCCTGATGTTTCTTTTCTGTGAGAATACACCTAGTATTCAGCAAACAGACAAGGAGCCTAACAGAAAAAGAATCCTGCATACTGCGATTGGTTTCTCAGTATCTAAAGTGAACTTACCTAAGAGATGATTCTTGGAGCCCCACATAACAAATTTAGCCTCTGTGAAAGTTGCCTTGCTTTTCTTTGCAGCCCTTTGGAAGTAACCTGTGGACTGCTCACAGTTTGAAAGCCATTGTACAAGGCCTTTGGGGGTGGCGTTCAGCTCTTAAGAGTACAACCTGAAAAACAATAGTCTGGTGATAAGGCACAGCCACAGCATGAATATTTCCTTGCAAACAGTTTTGCTAACAGTTGCTACTTCTGAAAGGCTCATCATATTCATTACCCAGTTATAGTAGCTTAACTAGCTGTTGTGCCAATAAAGATGTGTCTGAATTCTCTCTATAATTTTTCAAACAGTGACAAGTAGAAGGTAATCTGTTTTAACATCCCTATCTTTCATAGTGATGACTTGAGCAAAGTCACTGCTGGTGAGGCCTTGGAGGGTTTTGTCAGGTACTAGTGGTGGTGATAAAGAAGCACGACCTTCTAGAGAGCCATTTGCACATATGGAGGATCCGTGCTGACAAATTGTTTACATTCAGCCAGTATCCTATTTATTATGTAAAACCCTTCAATTTTCAGTCCTCTTTAAACAGAGATTTAGTTGTGTTCGCAACAAACTATGTAAACTTGAGTAAAATACATGATTCAATAACAGTTTACTGATTTATTTATTTACTTTAAGTTACTGCAATCAGAGTTGGAAACACTTGTCCATAGGCTGAATTATTATATCAAGTCCTGTTGGAATATGTTGTGCTATATTGTGCTGTGTTACAGACATGATTAACAACTTTTGTATGAAAAGACTAATCATCAGAATAGCACAGAATAAGTGGTTAAGTGTCATTTCTGTAGGTTCTGTCTGGTATATTTGTCCAGAGGTATGTGTGGGCTTATTTGCTGCTGTGAATGTCTTCTTGGGAACTAAACTTACTCTGACATGCCAATTTATTTTTTTTTTAATGATTTTAAAACAAAAATGAACTGCATGCATGTTTTCAGTATGTGTTTTTTTAATATGTGTCTTCCTTTCAATTATTTCTGCATAGAGCTACGTATGTTTCCAGACAAATTTGTTGTTTGTATCAGTAAACTTGAATTTAATCCAAGCGCTTGGACATGTGAAAGCGGTGCACTGGTATGTACAAAGCTGTGCTGTAATTTTTCTGGTTTGTTTGATAGTGGTAAGATGAATGTATACATATAGCTGTAATTATCTGTGTATTTGTGAACGTCATCTTGTGATCAAAATGTCACATTAACAGTTGTACAAAACATTCGGGAACAGATCCTTAAGTGATTGTTTGAAGCAGACAAGAATTTTTGGAATTTTTGGAAGCTCAGCATTTTTGGAGGAACATAAGGCTTAGAATTTTGTCATTTATCCTTGAAACACTTTATTTTCCTTGAGGATAATGGAGCAGATTCTAATGTCAGTGGCTTTTTTGTATGTTTTCTTAGCACTTGTTCTGCAAGACAACTCAAATGAGTCAGTGCTAGGCCCTGTTGGGGGAAAAAAAGTCCCCAAGCATTTATGGGCGGTGGTGTGTAGTTAAATACCATAAACAATTCTGCTTAAATATTTCATCTTGAGGGCTTTATAAGGGTCAAAGGCTCATGAATTTCATGCTGCAGTTAACTGCCAGTTGTCTCAGGAGTGTTCACAGTGGCCCAGGTGGCCTGCGGTACAGCACACGGTCTGCTCTGTGCTTGCAGTAAGAGTCAGCATTACGTGCTGATCTCTATGAATGTGACAGTCGTTTGTCTTGGATATATTAAAATATATTCAACATCTTATAAAAAAATCTAAACATTGTACTTAGTACTTTCTTATATCAAGCAGGTTTGTATTTACTGTACCTAATGCAGTTTTTATTATCTTGATTCTTCAACTGGTAAATATCCTTAAATGTCAAAGCAGTAAGGAAATCCTTTTCTGAGGAAGACATAAGTCTAACTGCTTTACAAGTATTTTGCTATTTTGAAAATTATTATTTTCTCAGCATTGCCTTGAAAAACTATTTAGATGCTTTTAATAGAAAATCCTGCCTTTGCATTTTGACTGAGAATAGTTATTTCTTAAGAATCTCTTGTGCAATATCCAATTTCCGCCTTTGTTATTTGTATTTAGCTTTAATGATAAATTTTCTTCTTAGTTTCTTTCTGTGAGTCTGTGTAGTAAGAAGGCAAATGAAAAATAGAATTATATGGTCTTTAGTTTGACTATTTAGAAATTTGATCTGATATATGGAAAGTCCTAGTCATTTTAAAAGGGTCTTTAAAGGTTTGTGTTTAAAAACCAAACAAAAACAGCAGCAAAAAAATCCCACATCAAATAATCTCAGTGGGATCATACTGAAATCAATACTAAAGCCTTGGGAGTTTGCTTTACATACAGATGCAGTACGCGCACGTAGTACAGGTGGGCATGATAGTGTGTTGGTAGAAGAGAACAAAATAAAGCTATCCTTAAGTCATCTTCCCTGATTTGAAAACTAACAAGAAGTGAGTAGACCCGCAGCAAATGTTCTGCAGTACTTTCTTAACTCTTGTCACACTAACCTAAGGGGCTTCCTGTGGACTGTTTTATTGGTCCATCATTTCTACAGCATGTTAATGCTGCATTTTTCATACAGTACAGTTCAGTACTTTCCCAAATTGAGTGGGTGTATGATTGCAACTGAGGGGTAATTTCAGTTTTTTTTTTTTGTCACTGAAGAAATAAAGACTGAGGATCTGCACTTTGTGTACTTTTCACATGCAGTTTAGCACTGACTGTGCCCGAACTTTTAACTAGATTACAGAAGACCACCCAGAAGACCTTTCTGTTGATAGACTCCAGTGTATTCTGTCATGGGCTAAAAATGAGGCATATGTTTTGTTTTCCTCTATATGTTGTTTAGGTTTGAATCATTCATTTCATAATATTGTATTTAAGTTCATTTTTGTGTTTAATCAGCTCACACCCTTCGTTTGAGGGTCTATCCGTGTTTTATAAAAATAGTTGACTCTGTGTTAGTGGAGATTTTGTCACATTTCAGTGTTGCTAATGTCATTACCGTTAATTTAGTTGAGACTTAACAATTTTTATTTTTGTTTTATACCTGCTGTTATGTAGTTTTATGGTTTTCGGGCAAGCATTCGTTCCTGAGCTATTTTGTCTCTCCTGGCAGAGACAGTGACTAAACCAAGTTTCAAGAGATGTAGCCAGATAAAGGATATTCTTATGTCCCTACACCTTAGGAAAGATCATAATTATATTGCTTCTGAGATATTCACAAGCACAAATTGCATGCACAAAATACTCAGAGAAGTGATTTAAAATCTTGTGATGCATCCTGTAAGACCAAGGAAAAGGTGGCTTAGGCAGACTCTGTAAAATTAGATTTAAGTTTAATTAAAGATTTCAGAGCGCTTCTAAGGAGTAGATCTGAAATAAAATAGAAGATCAACTGATACTGAATTTTCTCTATTCTAAAATCTGTTTAGAAATGGGTGTTGTCATATCTATGAAACAGGCTGCAGGCAGTAATTATCATTTTTGAAGAAATTTCTTTTTAAAGAAGCATTACAGCAAATTATTGAAAACAATTCAGCAAATTGGAAGGCTCAAGGAGAAGATGGAAAAATAGCCTGGCTTATTAGTGCTAAGTACAAATACAAAGTCGTTGATTCCTGTTTTGCAAAACTGTGTTTGTAATCTTGAATAGTTCTGTCTCGGAAAAGAAGACCGCTTTGGGAATATGGCAAAAAAGAAAACCCAGGCAAATGAAAGAGCTCTAGAGAGATCAGTCATCTCTGCAAAGATTACGACATTTTTGGGGCTGATTATTATGTAGAGAGCTAAAATGGAAAATTGGAAATGGGTTATCTGAAGAAACAATGTAATGGAAATGGGTGGAAGGTTTATTGAAGGCTTGGGACCATTTGAAAATGTGCTAACAATGGAGTATTCGTTGATAACTACATCAGCTTTATACTGGAATCTATGAGAGGAAGTGATTGTAGGGAAAACATAAAGGAGGTTAAGCGAATGACGAGACTGATGTGGAAATTTGAAATTACCATTCATATGACATCAGAAAAGAAAGTGGAGAGCAGGGGCTCCTGCTTTGATTAAAAAGATCTCCAGGTTACCACTAAGCTTTGTTAAGTTGCAGAGAAAATTATAGAATATTGCTCTTAAAAAAAAAAACCAAGCAAAAAAATAAAAATAAAGCAAAGCATACATAGGTGGAATAGGAGAAGAAAAGTCCTAAAGATATGCCCTGTGCCTTTTAGATCTCCAAGAATGAAAGAAGTAACATTTCATCATCTTCATACATGTCTCATTTTATAAATTGTTGTGACATACTTTATGTACATTGCAGAATTCTCTTTATTAAAACATGTTATAAGAGAGCAAGTGATATAATTTGCTTGGATTTTGATTATGCTGGTAAGAGGCTTCTGATTCTCCCATGAAAACATGTACACTTAGCTTTGATTAACAGAGAGCTTGATATTAGTGTGTGCTGCTGCAGCGTTGTGCTTGTTACAAAGCAGAATGAAAAGGAAAACCTTTTTGGTTTTTTTTTTTTCAGGCAGGAATAATTTGTAACCGTTACTAGAGGATTTTGTGTGAATTTAGTTATCTTAAGAACTTTAAGGTGTTATCAAGTAGAGCAGGGAAGAAGGAAAAGTTGTGGAATACAGTTGTACATTTCACAGTCTATAAACTATTATATCACAGTTGAACTGCTGGAGTTTCTACTGAAAAGACAGTCCATATTCCCTCTAGTTCCAGCTATGTATTGCTTTCCTTTCTGGTTACAATGGATCAGCCAAGTGATTCCGCAGCCAAGAATGAATTAGTTCATTGAACTGATCTAGAAGAAAATTATTTACTTGTGAAGTTTCTTTTTTTCCTTCTGCTAAATTGGAGGATTAGTTTTCCATCATCTCAGTGTACTTAACCAACTCAGACTGTACTCTAGAGTTGCTGACTGTGACACAAAAAGTGTAACAGGAGCATGCAGCCAGGACTCGGAAGAAGACGACAGGATAGCAGCTGATAATTACCCTCATTTAGAGGTAACATCCAAAATGCATGCTAATAGTGCCTTTTTAATACTTGCTTGGCTTTCAGATTCATTATCAACTTTTAAATTTCATACAATCTATTTTTCATTTGTTTTCAAATATGCAAATTTTTATTTGGTCAGTTTTGGAGACATAGCTAAAGGAAAACAATGTTAAGCTGTAGTTCAGCAATTTCTTTAAGAGGGTTCGCTGCTGGGGAAACTGCAGACAACAGATCCTGTCCATACACTGCACGTGGTTGAACAGCTGAAGAATTTTCTGTTTTCTCTTCGAGTTTCCATTTCTGATGCTTCAAGATTTTGTCTTTTTATTTATTTATTTTTTATTTTTCCCTCTCACCTTTCATGCTTAACTCAGTCTGACGAAAGACTGAACCATGCGGTGCCTCCTGCCTTCCCTTCTCTGATCTGTGCATTCTTGTCCTTGACATCTGTCAGCATTGGCATGTGGGGAGCTGGTTCAGTTCACTGGTTCCTGTGAAAACAAGGATTTTTTGGTTTTCTTTTTTGCTGTTGTTGTTTGCATGGTTAGCTTTCAGCTGGATGACTTCAGTGGCCGTGTTCTCACTGTGTGGCTGCATAAATACTCACACTGATGCAGAGGCTTTTGGCAGTACTCTGTTTGATAAGGGTGAGGTTTTCCTTTTAATGTCAGTGTAGCTTTAAAGAGTGCTGTGGTACTATTGTTTTTGACTTGGTCATAAAGAAGAAAGCTACAGCAGTTTTAAAATATTCACTTTTGTCACAGATGTCTGCCTTTTCTCCTTGAAAATCACCACTTCTAGGTAACAGTTTGCCAAAAGGCCTGTGTGCTTGCACCTCATCTTGTAATTCAGCCTTGCGGATTCGTACAAACTGAAATTCATTGAGCTTTCAGCTAATGCACCAAATGAGTGGGAGCAGCTGGGGTGTGTGCTCCCTTCTGCCAACCCTGATGTGGGGGCAGAAAGCTCTGCAAAAGGGGAGGGGAGGATACCTGAGAGTGGTAATATGGGAGATTGCTGCAGCGTGATTTGTTAGAACTTGTCTTAGTTTCTTCTTATAGCTTGCAAACAGT